ATAATAAGGCTCGGCCTAGCAAAATATTATTGATAACGTGTGCCCCTATAAATGTCATACAATGCCTTTTCGTCCTTACAGCCTTCTCAGAGTAATTGTTATTACAAAATTGTGGGGACTTTTTAAATAAAAATAAGTAAAATAAAATGCTAGAAAGAAAAGGGCACTAGTATGCAAATGTGAAATGCTAATTAACAATTGAATAAATATGATTACATACTGAGTTACCTTTTTGTTGTTTGTTTTCTTTTTCTTTTTTTTTTTCCCCAGAGCTGAGGACTGAACTCAGGGCCTTGCACTTGCCAGACAAGTGCTCTTCCACTGAGCTAAATCCTCAACCCCATGGCTGCTAACTCAGAAGGCTACTTGACAGAAGTCCTTTGCCATGAACTCTGGAGAGGAAAAGTGTTTACTCTTTCATGGAATTGTGATATCATAGCAGTCCTTCCAATTGTTTCATGTTTAAATGACCTCAAACTCTTAAAATACAGTTCTCATTCCAAGGCTGATTCCAGATGAAACACAATATAAAACATTTAAATAATCCAACTCCTTTTCTTATTAAAAGGCTATATGTATTTTTCTCTAACTATTGCAGGTCATTTGCCAAGAAAAACAAATGCATTTAATTCTCTCGCATGGGAATATTGTATTTGTAACCCAATAGGTCCAGGCCAGCAAGTCCTGTTTAGTCATTACTGAGTAATCCTGTGTTTCAAATTACTATGTATGGTTTCATTCTATGAAAATCTTGAGTTGTTATAGGATTGCTAACATTTTCCAAATAACAAATCATACCTTCACATAGAACTACTGGAAATGTAAAACTGGCATTCTTACTTGTCTTTAAGTTGGCAGAAACAGTTTTACTAGTTTCATAATTTTCTCTTCCCAATTTATTGAGATTTTAGGATACAAAATGGAAAAATATCCCAATGATTTTCTCTGATGTGTAGCATACCTCACTTTGCACATTATTAAGAGAAAATAATGAATAACTTTGTAACTTTTTCTCACCTCTGAAAAACTAGAAAAACTTAATACCTTGCACTTAGTCTTAGTGACCACAAGATGGTGTTGATCTTTTCAGTTTTAAAAAATGAGTATGTGAAGCCCTTTGGTATGGAAAACTAGGCTTTGGGAAGTGTATGTGTTCCCATTACTTATTTACATTTGTATCTCATAGCACAGAATTGGTTGCGTCAATATGAATGAAATTTGTTCAATTTCATTTTCCTGGCAAAGTGTATCAGGCTTAGACAACTTTTCCCTGAGACATTTTATTTATCAAATTAATCAGCTGAGGTTTGCTTTTAGAAAGCCAAATATAAAATGTTCAAATCTACTAGATACATCTGATTCCACTGTGTCAGAATAAATAAGATCTAATATTGTCAATCTGGAACTGTTTAAAATGAAATTTGTGATAAAACATAAAAAAAGCGTTTGCTTTTCATTGTTTTGAACTCTTGCTGAGGGAAATGGGCTATTACTGCCACCAAGTGTTAGAACTTTAACATTGTAATGTGTTTTCAATTTTTAAAAATACTACTATGTGCAATTTAAAGTATAATCAATGTCATCCATCATACCATGTTTATTGGAATTTCAAAATACTAACAATGTCATTAAGGTAGTAACTAGTGAACATGGAGAGCATATCTGGGACATATTTTGCCAGATTTCATTCGTACACATGGCAAATGCGTTACAAGATAACTTTCTAGTATTCCAAAGCTTTATTCTTTTTGTCCCCTTTTCTCCCATTTTTCTCTTTTTCAAATCACAAATACAGGAAAGTTTTCTGAGGGCCATTGAATGTTGATGGGATCTGGACCTTGCATCTAACCAACAGAACAGGCATAGATAGTAGAAGGTAAAAATGTCCTGGCCATATGAAAGGTACACACTCATACAGATTACATATGTTCATGTCTATATACTTCCATGTTGCAAAGATCTCTTTGTTGGCTTTTTTTTTTTTGTCGGTCATGGGGCTTGAACTCTGGGCCTGAGTTCTGTCCCTCAGCTCTTCGGCTCAAGGCTAGCTCTCTACCACTTGAGCTACAGTGCCACTTCCGGTTTGCTGGTGATTTATTGTAGATAAGAGTTTCATGGACTTTCTTGGCGGGGCTGGCTTTGAACCGCGATCCTCAGATCTCAGCCTCCTGAGTAGCTAGGATTATAGGAGTGAGCCACTGGCGCCCAGTGCTGGCTTGATGAGAGAAACAAACATATTACAGTAGCCCATGGCAAGGATCTGTGGCTAATAGCTAAGAACTAATGCTGGCCCCTAAGACTTCTGATTGGCCTGCTAAGTCTTAAAGATGGCCTCCAATAAGAGATAACAAATGGAAGGACACACCGTCACAAATTGTGGAGCAAATTTTCCCACACCTTAACTACAGCTTATTTCTACTCTGAGCAGAGGGATAAGCAAAGCTATTCCTGAATCCCTACTACTGGGGTCTTTCAGCTAATAGCCTTTAAAATTTAATCCGAATATTTCATTGTGCAGTATTTAAATCAAAAAGGCCAAATAAAAATGTACCTTTAACTCCTAAAGTACATTTCTGACTCTTACGTTTAATACATTCTGATAGTATATGGTCTTGGGTAGTGTTCTAGCATACTATAAAATTTGTGTTACAATCCCAATTTTAGGGGAAAACGTGACAATTTGCTGGGTATAATTTACGGGTATGACAAGAAAACTGGTTTTATACAAGACACATTAAAGATCAAAAATGTTGCCAGTCAGATATAAAGTAAATCCATCATCTTCTTTAAAATGAAAACAAAGGAGAGAGAATCCCCTTAGACTAATATGGTCAATTTATAAAGCTCTCAAAGCCCATATGGAATGATCCACATGTCTTTAGAGAGATAGATCAAGACTATCACCAGGCCATTCTCAGCTAAGCAGAGCAAGGTTAGAGTAACTGTATTCAGAAGGGGACAATAAAGCCTAAGTATGTCCACAGTCTGCACTTTGAGTCAAGCAGGCTTCATCTTCAGCAAAGCACAGACACAGTAAAATTGAATGATGCCTGTGTAGTGGACAAGTCCCAGGGCGTGGCTGGAGTCCTGACCCAGGAAACCCTATGCTTCTGGTCTCAATTTTCAATCAGAAATGAATAAATGACCTTGACAAACTTAGCTGCTTTCCCACATGTAGCTCCTCTGAACTTTGATGGACTGATGCTCCCCGTGGGCCCCGTTCTACTTTGCACAAATGCCCCTCACCACAGGAAAGTAACAGAGGGGTCTACCTTGGAATTGTTCCTCTCGCTTCAATCCTGTACCACGTTGTTGAATTTTCCACCAAGTGAGATAAAAAACAGGACACAGGACACAGGACATGGGGTGGTAAAATGCCTATTGTTGCATCAGGCACAAGGTTAGGTGTCTGCCTATACTGTGTATCATCCCTTTAAAAAAGTAGTTAAATACAATAATGGTATGTTACTTCTATGTAAGGGATACTTGTGCTAAGTACTTTAATGGAGGAGCCTAATTCTCTCACACCTCTGTGTGATGCTACTATATAACATAACTATAATGATAGTATGGATAAGAGTCCTAACGCTCCCAGAGGTAACAAAGATGAGATGGAATTAAATCACATCTACGTAAAGCAAACTTCATGTGTTTAACCACCATATTTTAAAGGTCCCTATGCATATCCTGTATGGTCTTTGGAGGACAAAAGGGCATATTTAATGCCACGAAGAATCCCATGGCTTTTCCCCTTGAACCAATGGAACACTGTAACGGGCAAAGTGCTTTCATATGTATGTATTTGATTTACCCCAAGAGTTTCACCGAAGGGTGGGTGGTGATGGTACAGACAGTCGTTAAGAACTTTGTACTCAAGCTGACCGAGGTCTAAAGATCAGGCCTGAAGTTCATCAGCGCCACAACCTTGGATGAAACCACCCCTTGAGTTTCCTAATCCGAGAAAAGGCGGGAAACCACCTTCCAGGATAGACTTGATGACAGGACACAAGCGTAACTGGCTCTTCAAAGAAGCATGTGCAATAAAGTGTGGGTCGTGCTTCCTGTGTGATGGATCGCGGCTCTTAGGGCGAAAAGACGAATCATGGGTCAGAAGAGAAAGGCCGGTGCTCCTACTCGGTCAGGTTTTCTTTATTCCTACATCCCCCCCCCCCACCAAAGTGTAGAACATAAATTCGTTCATATCTGCGTCTCCCACTCCACGGGCTTCAACTGAAGCCCCCCGGTGTTCCAACCACCCTCCCCCACCACGCGCCTCAAGTTACTCCAGGGTTGCCCGGGTTGGACAACGTACACCCAACCTTGGCCCCCCCACTCCCCACCCCGCCCCTCAAATGCCACGTCACAAGCCCCCTGAGAATGTTCACTGGACACCTAGTTTAGGCCGGAACACCGACGCGGGACCATCTCGAAGCGGATTGGCTGTCGTCCGGGGCAACCAAGGACGCAGTGGTCACGTGGGGGCCCCCCAGCCGGTATTTAAAGGCTGCCCCGGGCGGGTGCCCACTCAGTCCGGCCAGGACGGCAACGGTGAAGCACCTGGGTGGAGAGGGAGCAACAAGGTAACGCGCGCAACCCCTGCCTCCCCCAGTCCCCAGCCCGCACCTCTGCCGAGGCGGGGGTGCGTGGGACCCGGGAGAGGCCCTCACTGCGTGTCGCCCACCAAACACCTTCCTCCCACCTCCACCATCCTTACCCAGCCCTAGTCCCAACCCAACCCACCCCTGGGGCAAGACCACCCGGGTGCGAAGGAGAAGGCGATTACGAGGGAGGAGCGAGTGGAGTGGAGAAGAGGAGGAGAGGGGGTCCTCGTGGAAGGAAAGGCGTGATCCCAGCCACAGGCACGTGGCGAGGGGGGGGGCCTGCGCTGGGCGCACCCCCAGACCCCCCCACCCCGCCCAGGCGGACTCTCGGATCTGGTCGGACTTGAGGACAGCTTCTAGGACGCTACCCACTGAGGCCTCTGCGGGCTCCCCGGAACCATGACCCAGACCCTCAACAAGAAGGAGGACCCTCTCAATCTGGGCGGTGGCTGGTCCTCCTCCGTCCCCCTGCGCACCTGGTCCTCCTACCATCGAAGACGCAGGGGCGCTCCCATTTACAAGCGGCGCTACAACTACGGCCCCAAGCCTGAGTTTGAGCCACCCAGGAAGCAGCCCAAGCCAGGGCCGCACGGCTCCTCCGATCCGTGGTTCCAGCCCCGCCGGCGGCAGCCCTACTGGGCCGCCGTGTGCTCCGACTGGGAGCGCTGTGGAGGCGGCGGCCCCTGGCACCCTCCGCTGGCGGGATTCCGGAACCCCCTCTGCCCGGTGCTGCAAATGATCCGCGTGTACGGTCTGCACCCTTTCTGCCTGTGCTGTTGCTCCTGCTGGCGCGAGCCCTGGAACCCCGGCTGGATGAGACCCCCCGGCCGGAAGAAGCGCTGGGGTCACCACCACCACCACCATCACCACCACCACCACCACCACCGGGGACGCGGCCTACGTCGACATGCAGGGGGCCGTTCCTTCCCCAGGAGCCAGCAGGTAGACCTGAGCAAGCTGCTGCGGCCCGTCAACCTGTACGGGTGGCGGGCGCCGGGCATGAGAGCGCCCAGGAACACCACCCAGTTCATCATGAACCAGGTCTACCGAGACATGCGCGAGCAGGAGAAGCTGGGGCACCAGCAGGAGGTGCTGCGTGGGGCACCGCAGGCCCAGGCTGGGGAGCTGCCTTCCCTGCCAGGCTCGCCCCTGGGTCACTATGAGCCCCTTACCGGCAGAGAGGAAGAAAGTCTCTATAGCTTACTGCAGGATCCTTCTCTAGCCTTGAGTCCTGTCCCGGTGGAGGACGAGTCACCCTTCCTGCCACTGATGGAGGAGGAGGAGGAGAAAGAAGAGAAAAATGATGAGTGTGAGCCGGCAGAGTGTGATGGAAAGGAGGAGGAGAGCGAGGAGGAAGGGGAGGAGGAGGAAGAGGAGGAGGAAGGAAGTGGAGAGTCGGAGTCCGAGACCGAGGACGAAGAGATGGAGGAAGAAGAGGTCCAAGAGACTGAGCAAGGCGAAGAGGGAGAAGAGGAAGAGGAAGTGGAAGAGGAAGGGTTGGAAGAGGAGGGGCTGGAGGAGGAAGAGCCGAGAGAGGAAGAAAATCACTTGTCTCTGGAAATGCCTTTGTCAATCCTCGTCGGGGCGGAAGAAGAGCGAGATGACTTTATAAACTTTTCTTATTTAAACTCAGAGCAGATCATTCCCAAAGTGCCACAGGACGCGCTATTTATGCTACAGGACATTAACGATTAAACATCTGGATGGGAATTGAAGAATGGGATGGAACTGATTTGAGGCTAAAATGGATTGGCAACTTATTTAAAAAAAAAACACACACGAATTCAGAAGTGAGTCCCACTAATAAAACATATCTATGTAAACTCTTCTTTGGCCATTATAAAGTATTTAAAAGTTGGTGTGGATGTGTATGACTGGGGGTGGGGGTGGGGAAGCCTTCAGATACAACTTTACTGGAAATAATTAAAGGCCAACTATTTTATTACTGCAGTTTGAATGTTTTCGTTATTCTTTCTAGACCATGGTGAAAATACAAATTGGCTTATCTATTGAGCTGCAAATCAAACATTCTTAAGCACAAGCAGTGGTAACTGAATGCCTCCCAACTGCTCTTCTAATGTCATTTTAAAACAATTTTTCTACATTTTATATTTTGTAATCAAGAGGTATTTTTGTTGTTGTTGGTGGTGGTGGTTTTAGGTGCTGATCTTTAGGTGCTTGAACTCAGGGCACTAAACTTTTATGCTTAAGACTAGCTATCACTTGATAAGGCTTAGCTTTCTATCACTTGAGCCACCACTCCATTTCTAGTTTTTTCTTTTTTATGTTTTTTGGGGGGATTTTTGGTAGTAAATAGATAAGTCTCGCAGACTTTGCTGCCCAGGCTGGCTCTGAAGTGAAATGCTCAGACTTCAGCCTCCTGAGTAGCTAGGATTACACGTGTGAGCCTTTGGCACCTGGCACAGTGTTCACTTTTGAGGGTTGTATTTGGTTACCCTGTCTGCAGTGTCTTCTGGCAATGCTCATCTATATTCCTTGTTCCACAGTGCTATGGATCTCAGAAGAACATGAAGTTGCTTCTGTGGAACTGGTTCTCTGCCATGGCCTCAACAATCCATAATCCATCATGGAGAGGATTCCCCATGGTCAGAAGTCAGCTCCAAGGTAACTGCATACCACAGATACCACAGAACATGGCTTAGGTTTTGAAGCCTTGTTCTTGGATATAGTCCTCACAAGTTCAGAGGAACTGTATAGTTTTTGCAGAATGGATTTTTTTTAAATCAATGAGTATTTGCCTTTTGGGGGTTGAATAACATTATGCTTCCTAATTTATTTTCTTATAAAGGAGATTAAAACAAAGATTGTGCATGTGAGCCTGTGTGAGCTATTTTTTGATACTATCTAAACTATTACCTATGGTAAGTCCTTTCTTCCTGAGCATTGAATGAAACATTCTAATTGTAGCACATTTCCAGAATACTCTCACATGAATTACACCTTATAACAGATCATACTTCTTAGTTTGAACCACCACTTAAAGAGAAGACTAAAGAGAAGACCAATTTAAAGAGAAGACCAATGGCAATATCTTACCTGGGTATTGATTTCACTCATATGCCACAGTGCATTGAAGTTTTTTGTTTTTTTTTTGGTTTTTTGTCAGTCATGGGCTCCAACTCTGGGGGCTGTCCCTGTGCTCTTCAGCTCAAGGTGAGCACTGTACCCCTTGAGCCACAGTGCCACTTCCCGTTTTCTAGTGGTTTATTGGAGATAAGAATCTCAGGGACTTTTCTGGCTGGGCTGGCTTTGAACCGTGATCCTCAGATCTCAGCTTCCTGAGTAGCTAGGATTACAGGCGTGAGCCACCAGTGTAATAAACTGAAATAAATCTGTGCAGCAGCACTCTAATGTCCAACAAAATACACAAAAGAAGAAAGCTCAAATATTGTGGAAAAATTACATCACTTATTACAAGTTCCAGCAACGAATAACCAGTTGCACACTAAGAAAGCTCTATGTAAATCTAGCCTGTTTAAATGGTTCAAATTTGTCACCATATGCCTATTATTGTTCAAGTGTATTCATAGAGAAAAATCAATATTCTCCCCCATGCAGACCAATCCTCCTAAGTCAAAATCCACACAATCACTATCCTCATGATGCTTGAAATAGGTCAAATTTGAGTGTAATCTTAAGTCCATCTAAGATTTGCATTTCCTCAAGTCAAATTGCAAATTTAAAAACAATGCTTAAAAACAATGCATGTCAATTGCCTCTTTCTGTACAGAACATTCAATGGTCACAAAAGGATACGAACAATGCTTCAGAAGCTTCTGTTCTAATCCATGAGACATCATTCAACAGTTACTGTATTGCAAGGAAGCAAACACTGAATAGTGAATAATAATGGTGAATCAGCAGAATTCCCATTCATGTTGCTCATGTTTAAGTAGGAAACCCATAATAATTAGACAAGTTGGTCACTGCAGTTCTGAAGAAACACTATGAGAAGATAAAGAGTATCATCCTTGTTGTCTACTGTATGAGAAGAAGGACTCAGTGTAGAGGAGCTAAGAGGAGCAGGGTGAATTTAGGGACTGAGGGAGGATTCGTGCTGGAAGGGACAATTAAAACTGAGATAGGCAGAAGCCATATTATCTGATAATTCCTAAAATAGACATCAGCAAAAGTTAATGAAGGAAGAAAGTTACTGGGGCTTTCTACATGACGGGGTGTGTGTGTGTGTGTGTGTGTGTGTGTGTGTGTGTGTGTGTGTGTGTGTGTGTGTGTGTG